ATTTACTCGGCCGGCGGTTCCACATCGAAACTGATCATAAGCCGCTACAATTTTTGAAGACAGCGAGAGACCCACGGGGGAAGTTGTCACGGTGGATGTTGCATCTTCAGGAGTACGATTTTACGATCTCACACGTTCCTGGAAGTGAAAATGTCTTGGCAGATTTGTTATCGAGACCAGAAGATGAGTCTGAGTTGCCCGAGGTCGCTTACGGAGTGCATGCAGTAGAACAAGACCCACTAAGACTTGCACGTAGGCAGAGGTTGGACGATACGCTGAATACAGTAATACAGGTGATCACCAACGGAATAGAAGTGGATCAAACTACGGCGAGTAAGGAGCTAACCACACTACTCAGACAGAGGGATCGACTCAGAGTGAATGCCTACGGGACTCTGACCTGGCGAGAGAACGACGGAAGTTGGCTGGCTGTCATACCTCAATCGTCGCGCCACGACATGATAGAAGAATGTCACCAGCTAGCGCATACAGGCGTGGCCAGAACGACCGACCTCCTAAGACAAAGTATGTACTGGCCAGGTATGAGAGAAGACGTAGCAAGATACGTACTTGGATGTCCACGGTGCCAGCTGATGAAAGGTGACCGGTATATACGACCACCACTTCAGTCGATTCCAGTTACCGCGATAGGTGACTTGTGGTCCGTAGATGTCATGGGTCCATTTCCTCAGACATCCAATGGTAATCAGTACCTCTTGGTGATGACGGAACACGCGACACGATGGGTAGACGCCGTAGCAATCCCAGACCAACGTGCAAGAACCGTGACAGATGCAGTAGTTAGACACATTGTTGCAGACCACGGCGTACCGAAGACAATACTGACAGACCAAGGTCCCTGTTTCGAGAGTGAAGAGTTTACTTCCCGTTTGCAACAGCTGGGCATCAAGAGGATCAGAACGACCCCATACCATCCACAAACGAATGGCCTAACGGAGAGAAACAACCGTACACTGAAGGAGTGGCTGGCCTCGAAGGGCGGGAACTGGGAAACGGAGCTTCCACTGATTTTACTAACACATCGGGCTACCACTCAGGAAACAACGAAGAAGTCACCCTTCCAACTGATGTATGGTAGAAAACCACGATTACCGGTACACAATGAGACCTGGCCCATGCACCAAAAGTGGAGTACGACGAAATTAAAAGCAGAGAGGAAAGAGGCAGTCAAGAATGTAATACGGAAGCAGCGCAGTGATGTCACGAAGTCTCAGATGAAAGAAAGGACGCAGTGCATTACCTTTGCAGTCGGGGACCAAGTGAAGTGTAGAGACAGGAGACATACAGTTGGAGGCGGGCTAGGTTCACGGAAACTCCTTCCAAAGTGGGAAGGACCATACACAATCACAAAAAGACGGGGTCAAGTATATACCATCCGAAGAGGTGATAAACAGAAACGAGTTAACGCCAGTCAGCTCCAAAGATGGGTACAGTGGGACAAGCCGGTCAGTAACAATCCTCAGATAGAGGATGTAGCACCCAGAAGGTCGGAACGTCTGCGCACGAAGCTATTTGACGGGGGGACGAGTGTGGTGAGAGCAGGCTGCTAGCCGATTGGTTGGCACTAATCTACGTTAATGTCTAGGTCACTAATATGGGCCGTGAGAGAATATGAACAAGGCTGTTTCAACAACCAATCACAGCAAACTTAAATGTGGACAAATATGATTCGCAGACAGATGGCTCTACTTTCCGAGAAATATCGAAAACAACCAATCATAAGACTGTGTTTGTCTGCTTAACTTCCGAGAAACAACCAATCAGAAGACTGCCTTTTTCTGCTTGCATAAGCCTTATTAATGCACATAAAATATATATAAATACGTGTTGATTTTCGTAATAAAAGGATCTGTTGCCAGCCCTTGTCTTCTGTTGTTACAACGGTGCATTGTGAATTGTTGGTAATAGGTTGTTGGATTCGATCGGAGGAAGCCTTGGACCTGGGTATCGTGCTAGCTGGCACTCACTAGTGAACAAGGCGTATCTGCAGTCACCTTGAAGGAACTTATGCAGGTTCTGAGATTCAGACTGCAGCACTGGGTGATTAGTGTTTGAGTGTCAGAAGGGACATAAACTGTTTCACTGGCGTTTGGATTTTAGCCTGGTTGATATATACACATTACCTCTAATCCGAGTTTCAACGCTTCCTGCACATTCCCTCCTACCATCTAATACATCTCATGCTAGACTGAATTGTATAGCTGGCTAGCGAAGGAAGGCCTACTTTCCTATGGAGTCATCAACTAGATAGATCGCTGTATATATATATATATATATATATATATATATATATATATATATATGTATATATATTAAAGGCGTACCAAAGCTTTAGAGCTTTTCCCAGTCATGGGTCAAATTAGAACGAATAATGCGTTGACAGATAGAGATTAAAAATGTAATAATAACAAAAAAGAACAGGAAGTTCGTATTAAAGAGCGTAGTAGGATAATAATTACAGAAAAAGTTGATTTTTATTATGGCCATAATAAAGGAAAAGATTGGACGTACTTGTTTTGCATACTCATAGAGGTGGCTTTAATCTATGGTTACTTAGTGTTTCAGCTATGCCTAGATGTTTTGATCTCAATCCCTTGAAGAGGTATGATCAGATCTTGTATAGGATTTTGAAAGATTTTTCAAGTAGAGCTAAGTTTCTTGCGTTCATCAGATGTTCCATTATCGAATTATAGACATATCTACCTTCTCCTTTCGCTAGCCAGGCTTGATTGTGTTAAACATCGGAAATTTGACATCCTTAGATAGAGTCGGTAGAAAGAATGAGTAAAGAATAAAATCTACTATAAGCAAATTTATAATTCCGCGGGAAACTTCTCCGCGTTTTCCTCTAATAACTGAGAATATTCAGATGACAATAAACGACCCATTCGACATATTCAAATAATGATCACGCAAATAAGCGAAATAGCATGATAGCATAACTTTCTGATTCATATTAGTAGTGACTTCGACATAAAATCTATCAGTCAGCAGTATTTTGCTAAGTACTACTTATAATTAGATATAAGTAGTATATCAGTAAGCGAATTCAGAAAAGTAACAGTATGTTTTGAGGCACTGGAAAAAACAGTCGAAGATGTGAACTGTGAAAAAAAGTTACAATACTCTGCAGAATCCAACAAGCTACCGAATGTGGTGATATTCTACCAGTTTGCAAATGATGTTCGAATGAAGATAAGGTATATCAACTTTATGCGCCTACAATGCGTTTGTCCTCATAAACGTAGCCTTTGAGCCTCATTAAACTTTTCTTCTTTATAGTATGTATGATAATTTGACAAGTTAGTCAGGTGTACAACAGTTTACACCAGTTTATAACTTTATTTTCTGACATTTTGGTGGACCCATTGCATTACTGTTCATCGTTGGGATACATGAAGAAATCCTATTGGATTGGAGTAAATTTCTGTAAAACTATATACTACTGAATGATTGAAGTGAGTAGTTTGATACCATCCATACCATAAGCCAGTAGTGCTTGTTGGTCATCTGGATGGAAGTAACCTAAACACCGGGCTGCCGTTTCACTAGTTTGCCGCCAAGCTCATCAGTACTGTATCGAGTTTGACTCAGCTGAAAGGAGAGCCGAATCAATTCAAACCACCCGATTTCTGGTGAACTGGTGACACACTAAATCAAATTCACTTTACCGAGCATCGGGTGGTCTCAGATGACTTGGCTCTCGTTTGAGCTGAATTAAATTGAGTGCTGATGACGAGCTCGGCTGTGAATGAGTGAGACAGTCTCCAAATGTTCAGATTTGTCTAACAAGCACTACTAGTTGATGGTGTGAGTGGTATCAAACTACTCATCTCAATCATTCAGTAGTATTCAGTTTTATGCAAATATGCTTGCTTTCCTGATTACCATTTATTAAGCAGATCATATATTGGTAGAAGCCCGACCGAAAGCTGCTACCTTGACGTGGTGGTCGGGCTTGAACACCGCAATGACCTAATCAAGCTATACTGGCTGAGACTTATGTCTCTTGAGGTTCTACCATGCCAGGCAGGTTGATTGGATAGCAGTTAAACAAAAAGCAGCTACCCAATCCAAAACTATGATACATACAAACTCACAAAATATTGTGCCGGATCGGCCGTGGCCCGGATTAACAACGACCGCGCTTCCTGCTGCCGTGTCACAGGGCAGAAGTAATAAATATGCTACTGAGACACACAAAACAATAAAGAACGAACAAAAGCAGACCGCGTGTGACCGGCCTCAAGCAGTTGTCTCCTGGGCTCTGCGGTCACGCAACCAACTTCCACGGTGTGGGCAGCCGGGAAGTAACTATCGCCCTCAAAACCCGAAATGCACACGAAACCTCTCTAATATTGGTAGAAGGAGAACTTTTTCGTGTTTTCCACTGTTCTTCATACATATTATAGCAGTTAATCCTCTATTCATCTTGAAATTTAGTCGTATAATTTTAGAGTTACAAGTATGTAACTACAATCAGAGCAAGTAAGATCCACTTTCGAATTGATGTGAGGCGGCTGTAGAGTCTTAGATGACTGACTGTCATCAAATAACATAAATCCAAAATGCATCAAGATGGCTAGTCAGCTGGCCTGCTGATGACTTCCACTAAATGACTGACTGACTTATTTGTTTCAACAAAGAACTTTGCACCGATGTACAGCAATTCGAGTCGCCATACTTCACCCAGCACATAAAGTCAGAGATGAAAGTAAAAAGGAACACAAAACAGAGACAGCAAACAGAGCTATGAGGCAGAAAGAATAGTAATATCGAAGAAAAATATAGTTTTATTGGAAATTATAAGTCACAAGGAGTGGATACATCTACGCCAGCCATTGAGAACGACTTTCACTAAGTACCCGCATTAGGAAGTAGATACATAGCATTGGTTACACTGTAGTGATCAATCGAGGTTTATTTTTTATTTTTTCTGAAATAACAATTGCATTATGTTATTTAACTTTTGAAAACAGGATAAATCAAGATATACAAAGAACATGGAATTTACTATGTGACTGCTATTGGTTAGTATTAACATCCAAATTATCCGAAATGAATGCTTATTTATCAAATATCAACAGTGAATGGACTGAAAAGAATGTTGTAAGTGAATGATTTTTAAAAGTTTTTTTCTTTTTTTGAGAAATTTTATTTCCCAGGACATCTAATTATGATAACTAATTGCTTTTGAACAGACACCTGATCTGTTTGTGTATTAAATAGAACAAAGTTAGGAGATGAAAATCAAAAAGTTGACAGAAGAAACTGGCGAAGTGGATACGATTTCAAGTATACATAGAAAGGGTGGAGATGATGAAGATACCTAACTAACTAACGAACTGTAACAGCAACAGCTAACGGAATAAACTTGGACAAAGCCACACTCTTTATTTCAACTTTGAGAGACGCAGATGAGGATGTCAAAACTAGTCTGAATCAGAAAGGAAAGGTAAACTTTCATTTATCAATCTGTAGTCAATTTGGAAATCTGCTGCACTCCACAGTATGAAGAACAAGATTTCCAACACCACTGTTTAGCCAGTTTTTCTATATGAGTCACTGGCTCCACATTGAATATCAGATGGCCGACAAGAAAGGAGTGGTAGCAAGAAACTCTGAGAACGAACTAGCCGAGAATATATTGCTCAAGAAATATTCCGAAGAAAATGGAGATGAATCTGACACACACACACACACACTGTGGAGACTTTCGGGTGACATTGCGCACCAGGCCACCAACCGAGTGCCTCCCGAATGGGAGACGGCGAGTTAGGAGTGTGTTAAAGGGTGACATGAAGGAGGGAGCTTGCGTGAGGAGGAGATGAGAGCATATGGACAGTCGTGGGGCTAGCCGAAGTGAACCGCGAAATCAGGACAAAGTGGAGAGGTGCTAGTGACTTCCTATGTTCCACTCAGAAAGCAAGGGTATAATAGTAATAATAATAATAGAAGGACATCTCAAGCAAAAGTATAAAATAGATTAGCAGTCTGCGATGCTACGACAACGGATAGTTGTGAATGTATTGGTGAGGAAGTATATTCCTCTAATTATGATACTCTTACAGGCGTGTAGGATTTGGTAGAGCTTACTAAGTGACGAGAGGCAATTCTATTTACTGGGGATCCCAAATATCATTTCAATTTAGCTGATATTAGTGTATGAAGTAAACTAAATAAAGCTGAGGTCATAAAATATTTCACTTTGGCATGCCGTATTAACTTACGCTTCACATTCGTCTGAAACATAATAGCTACAGCTTTATTCTCGACTAACTGTTTATACAATATACAGAATTCTCAGCGTAAATGTTTGCATGATATTTTCTCCTAATCCAAAATAGAAATCTATAGTATATCATGTGATACAATGTGGTTCCATTTGAAGCTTAAGCTAATCTCTCATAGTGTGTTTGCTTCATCGCCAAGAAATGCGCACCATTCCTTTAAAAGACAATCCAAAATGTTCTTGAATACTTTTTGTAACTCACAGATATGACTGAATGGCTAGAACACTAAGAATGAAAGAAAATATGATGCACATGGGTTGGATGAAGATTCAAATAGTCCAGCAGATTATACAGACGTCGATTTAACCTGTTCATTGTGCTTTGTGTCACACTAACAGTGACTTCTCGAGCAAGTTTAAGCCATGACACTACTAATTTACTGCAAAACATTATATATATATATATATATTATATAATGTATATAATATATATAACCTCTGCCTCGGTAGGGGCAGAGGTTGGACGTATTTCTTTTGGACACAAAGCGTGGGCTTGAGTTTTCGGATCTCCAGTGTCTCAGCTATTCCAAGATGCCTTGATTTCACTCCCTTTGATAGGTTTGATCGTATCTTGTATATAACTCTTGAGTACTTTTCAAATGGCGATGAATGTTGTATTGTTAGATGCCTTCGTCGTAAAGAAATTTTTAATATACACATGTATACATTGAGGCATAATGAAAAAAGAGGGGTTGAAAATATACGTAAAGGGTGGTGGTGGTGGTGGTAGTGACGTCATCAGTTCGTTAGGTCTTAATTGGCCAAAGGAAAGGATAATAGCTGTACGACAGACTTTTGAATGCATTGTTTAGGCTTAATAGTCTTAGGGAATGCCTATCACCTCAGCTATTTGCAGTGGACGAATACGAAGTCTGTTGGAAAGATAAGATTCAGTAGGATGCACAAATCTCACCTTGAATACTTTTCGTTTTCTCCACTGTCAATGAACTAGATGTAACAAAATGGATCTGCGGATGATATTTGTGTGTCCTTTGCCAAACCACGATTGAAGATGTTTAGTAAGATGTTACTTGGCTAAGCTGTCTAGTATGTAGTATGCCCAACATAACTGTCCCCGTAGGAGTAGTATGACTGATAAATGCACATAAATGTATGGAAAACCTATCTAGCTATCTATCCTTCGTTTGCCTCGTGATCATTTTTCGAATGGAGAATGACATATTTTATCCATACTACACATTTTTTTTACTGAAACAAACTCTAATTTTTCGGCACAACAACGTTAAATAACACAGATTATGTGGATGGTGAAATGATGACTAAAATGATAAACATTGAGTTAAAACCACTGAAATAGTAGTAATAGTAGTAGTGACCTTTATACATATATAGAATACACAACAATATCAAGTTTTCTGATAATTGCTATGACGTGGTGGTTACTATAATAATATGACGTAGACGTATAGGTTATCATTTTTGTTGTTGTGTAACAAAATTGTATTA